TTAAAGCTTTGTGTGTTCACAAAGGTCAAAAATTAAAATCGATACGGATTTTCATTTATCCGAATTTATTTTCTTCTATTTACAAATCCCTTTGGAAAATGTTTAGAAGTATAGTTTAGAACTAAGAAGCAGATCTATAATGTAATTCATTAAAGCTTTGTGTGTTCACTAGTGAGTTCGCGGTTTGTTACTGCAAGTTGCACTCAAACTTTAGCCTTTGTGGTCCTTAAACTTTATCTCACATAGCCATTCTCAACTCGCAAGTTAATCTTCTACATATATTGTTTAAATACTTCAAACAACAGCCTGTTGAGTTAAATATTCTTCCTCTAACTCGAAAATACATAAAATGAACTATTCACGTAAGCAATGATCTAGGTACCTACTGAAAATAACTGATTAAATTTATATCATAACTTAAAAGCATAGTTATAAACAATATTATGAAAATCTGATCCAATATTCATGTGGGGTTTTATGGATTAAGAAACTATATGATATACTGTTGCATTTACAACAAAACACTAACTACAGAAGAGATAAAACTGAGTGCGATATAATGAAATTGTCATGTATACTGTCACAGTTCCGTGACTTTCAGGACACTCCATTGTGGTCTTGTCTAAAAAGAACTTTATAACAATAGGTATAATTGCGTACGATTGTTTAAATTAGTGGCGCGGAGCGTAGTAAAATCGAGTGAAAGGCTTACTTTCTCTAGCCCTGCGGCCCTCTTGTACTATGTAGCTCTATTGCAAAATTTTACACTCTCCTAACACCGATAGCTATCAATTACTTCGATAAATAGATTTAGAAACCACATTACTTAGCTTTCCTCTGTACTATTCTAAAGAGCGTGCTTTCTTTAGTATTTGCTGTTGAGGTTGAAATATATTTTTTAAGTTGTTACTTGAAGATAAACTATCTAAATAAGATTGTTATTGTTAACCAAAAATGTTGTGTAAGCCTTTGATTATAAAAGACTATGTTCATCATGATTGACGCAAATTAGCCAGCGCTCTCAGTCATGGTCTGAGGGAGGTTGACGTTGTGAGAGTTTTCATCACTCTCCTACCGCACGTATGTGGGTCGTCACGAATCGCTTTGTTCCCCCCTCATTTTGTTTCAATAACATCTACTCTATTCATTATCACAACGTACTTTATTCATTAAGATGACTTCATTGTCAAAAATAATATGTAAACTTAGTAAACACCATTAATGTCGACACTAACAGAAAATATATTTTTTCCTGCCGTAGAATGCTATTATATCTAAATCTAAAACAGAATGGACAAAAAAGACAAAAAAGACCATTAATAATATAATCTATATAATATTATGTTATTTCATTTCTCACGGGCTGACATACGTGAACTTAAAGCTTTCTTGCGATGCTTAAAGCGAGCTGCGCCTAAGTGTGGTTTACGTAAGATGCCTTATGTAAGCAGTTTGTGTTTCTTGTGTAACCAAGCAGTGCTTTTGTTATACATATATAAAACTGGCCATTGACTAATGCTAATTACGATAAAGGAGAAGGTAATTTTAATATGTAATAAACAATACATAGATAATAACAAAAATTTCGATTAAGGAGTCGGACTTCTTGACCTACTCGAACTATTGCTTTGAACATTAAATGAGTATTACTACAAACATAACTTTTCGTCCATTATTTTTCTTCTTGTCCACTTTTTCTCTCAATATACTTATTATTCAATATAATTATTGCCATCTTCGATTTCCGTAGTGCCCGGTTGACGGAGCAGGTTTGCGAGTTTGAGTTCGACCGAAACGTTCGAAATTATAGGTGTTAAATATGTCTTTGCCTACCGATTCGGTGAAAGTGAGAGGGTGTATGTACATATATTGCAACAAAAAATGAGACAAGACGAGAAAAATGAAGATAATAATCTTTTTATATTTTTAGTCACGTAGACACTCGTTTTCTAATTAAAATCAAAGGTTTTAAATACCTAAAGGAAAGTTTCCGATTAAGGCTTATTATTCGTTATATACTGTTATCGTACTGTCACGATAACAGTAATCGATATAGATAATGCAGATATGATATGACAACTCTCACTGAATTATTCCTCAAATATCGAATTGAAAGTATATTTTGAGTACATGGTCGCGTTATCAAATCTAAATAAATATTATGTATATACAAAAGAATCTCCTCCGAAACCATTATATTAATATGTTTAACAGCATATAAGGAACAAGCGACTATCATAAAAGAATTTACTTATTTGTACCAGTTGTTGCTATTGCAGAGTCTTAGTTAGCACAAATTGGGTTCTAGCCAATATTGGACGCAGACTGCAGAAAAATGAATACCCTTAAGTAATTGGTTCTGTCAACCAAATAATTTTTAACCTGAAAACCGATATTGGGAACAAAATTTTTGTAGTGTAAACGGAACCAAAAAAAAAAGTGCATTTGGATGATGTCCTTGAGTTCCCACCAAGGAAATGAGTTAAAAGAAATTAACTGTAAGAGGAATATACGAGCTGATACCACTATACTAGGAGGCTTGTATACTATAGTAGAACTAGAGAATGGGATGAGCACGCATCTACATCAGTGCATGTGTAAAGCTGCTATCGTGTATCGGATATTTGTTATTAGACCTTATTGAATATTTGTCCTATTGGGTGGCAGCCAGAACACATTGCCAAATATTTACAGCGTTGTCACCATTTGCCAATGCTAGAACTTTGCATGGAAGCTACAGTTTAGATTAAACTGAATACAAGGAATTCCCTCGAAACGATTAAGCGTGCCTAATCAGTAACCACTGTTTCTTAGAATGAGAAATAAGTAGTAATGTCGTTCACAACGTCCATTTAACTGCGCTCAATTCCTATCGAAGTAAATGAAGACGGGTGTTTCCAATTCTAATATACTTAACTTAATTAGGTCTTATGTTCTACATAGAGTTGCAACTTTTGGGGTTTGATTAATTAAAGGAAGTGTTAATGTTATGGTTGTTGGGTACCGAAATGTGTATAATGTATGGAGTGTGGTCACGAGTCAGGTGGAGCAGGTAGACCGGGGGTGCGCGGCCGTGGCGTGGGGCGGCGGGGGACCTTCCGTCGACAACATCTGTCACGGCAGCTGCTTTCCCGCGCTCGCACGTGGGTCTACTAAACCTATTATTAAAGTTGTTCTTTTTTGAGAACTTTCAAACTGTAACGAGAGATACCAATACGCGTTCGCCATGTAGTTTATATTCATTTTTGTTGATAAATACTCGAGAAAGGAATTGTAAAAAAAACAAACATCACGTTACAGATATATAAATATAGCCCGTGAAAAGTTATTTAAGATAAAAGAAATCATTATTTAATCAGGTTTTGCAGTCATCAGCAAGCTGTGTACCTATAAAAGTGATAAGTAATCTTTACACGAAAATTCACTTCGCCACGTGACATAAATACGCAGCAGAAGACAAACCGAGCACTAGGAAAGATTGCAAGCACCGATTTTTAATATGTTCCACGGTCGCACACGTGACGTTTGTTTACCAGCGGGCTCAAGGCCACGTGCATTGTTGCGACGTTATTCCGTGCACGTCAACTAATGGTGGATAACGCGAAATACACAAATCTACTAAAGCTTGCCGTATCATATATTTATAAAATCTAAATAAATGGAACATAACCAATTCTTATTCTACAAAATGATGCAACATCTATACACAAGTAATACCCATATAATCTAGTGTAAACAAACAATATAATGAATCATTATTCCAGCGCTCTCGAATCGTGAATTCTCAGAAATTTTGTGTAGAGTTACAAGTCGAACTAACTGTTCCGAACGGTTTGGTTGCAGATAGATTAATTTGATAGATGAAGCAGATTGAGGACGATCTTGTTGAATAGATAATCTCAAGTAGCAATAAGATAATAATAGAATAAGAGTTATTATTGTGCTTCTCGGGGTATCATTTTATTATAACTTATTATCACTCAGTACTGTTCTATTTCGAACTTCTATTCAAAACAGTTAGGTCAAGAGGACGTCAAGCTTGGTGTATGACAACACCGATCAAAGCGTCGAGCAAACAAATGAACGACGTAGTTGAAATTAGACAATAATGGATAGTCCGCTAGTGTTTTACATTAGTGTTTTAAAAACAAATGGGCAAGAAAAAAAAGAGTGTCACATAAAATCGTCCATCAGCATTGCACCCTTAGGCCAAGCAAAGCCACAATGCAGCGCTCGGTCGCCTACACCACACCAAAACGCTTTATTTATTTACTAATACATACATAATCGCAATCGTCCTTCGATATGAGCAAATATCCACGCAATAACTTCATCGCTATAAAGGCCATTCATTCAAAATCATAAATACACATTAGTATTTTATATAATTTTGGGTGTGATTTCCAAATACTATGTCAGGACAGTTGAATAAGTAAAATCGATTGCACAAATTAATATTTTCGTGCCATTACATTTCAAAATTATGGATCACGACTGTTGCCTAATAAATAAACGAAGATGAACCGTACCAGTAATTTGTATCAACAATACTTAAACACAGCCAGGTACTTGATTTATGATATGACAAACAACATTATTAATAGGTAGTATCGAACGAAGATGTGGCTACTCCACAGTAGTACAGTATTTTTAATGTCAAAAAGATTAAGCTAGTACCGGTTGTAGGACAGACGATTTGTATGTCTTAGTAAACATCGTGTTTGGACTGATTTCGCTTCTTAGAAAGTGATATCACTCCGGACCAGAATCTCGCTTACATAGATAGATACAAGCTTATAACTCAGCCTGTGTTTATTTAAAGTGGATTCTAATATTCGGTTTTACCATAGGACTGGATAATAGACGAACGCTGTGATAAACCCTGTGATGTGCGAGCCAGCCCACGGATATTTTTATATGTGATTTACTAGTGCCCAGTACAAACCGAGTACAAAAAAAACGGATATTGTATAGAGATATTTTATTAGTGTTATTGAACGATGAAGGAGGAGTGTAAGTTGTGTAGTGTAAACCGGTGGGGTGGTGTGCAGACGCCGACAGACTTCTCTATATCATCGCTGATGAGGCCAACGGCGCCCCATCCGCATGTGGACCCGAGGCCGGACGGTGTGCTGTTGTCGTCTACGGTGCGGTGGTACAACTTGAAATTAGGTGACTATCCATTGTATACGCTTCACGATTACTACGCCAGCGGTGAGTATCGTGCACGTAACCTCACATCGCACTTACCGATTAACAACCTATAAATAAGTGAATCGATAAAATACTTCCTAACATACATAAACTCACAAATGTAGATAATTAATGTCAGAGTCATATATGTGTAGCTATTAAATATATGTAGGTATATCTATACATATGTATGTTTATCATGGTAGTGCAGCTTTTACGAGTATATTTTAGCAACGAAACAATGAGCCCGTCTGCTGGTAATGGTTAGATTTTTTTTGTGGTAACGAAATGTTTTGACGGAATCGAACAGACCGAAAGAACCCCACTGGGTTTATTGGTCAGTTCCACGCAGAATTTAACTGTCTGATATGTGAATTTTATCAATACCTATATTTCTTCCACTTTAAAAATCTGTTAAACCTGCATCCCAACATTTTAACGGATTTTAACAATTTCAATCGATCAATTGCTCGAACCTTAAGGGTACTATTTGTCAAATACTTTTTTTTTAAATCATGCTATTTCTTTATCTTGGGGTGTAAGTTTTTTTTTTAAAGAACTCCCGCACTTGGAATAAATCCTGTGTCGCAACGGACTTTACAAACATACATGAAACGGACACAAAGTACACCCAGACTCAGAACAACAATTTGTAGATCACACAAAGTGTTGTCCCATGTGGGGTTTGAACCCACGACACTCGGCGTAATAGGAAGCGGCGTGGCGACCGCTTGAACCATTACGCCATCCGTGCAGTTACGCATTCGGACATTTCGTTTCAAGTTTCAAGAACTAATTTATTGCAGTGAACGAGGATGAAAGATTAACGATACAACGCCAAGTTCTTAAGCGACATCATTAGAGCTTTCTACAGGGACAGCTCATTGTTGCCTCATTGCAGATACGTCTACAAAAGTCCGGGAAATAAACAGCTTCTGAATCATAATGAAATAGTTTAAAATTGATACAAGCCTTCTTATGGAGGAGTGACCGATTAGAAATTACGTACTTCTGTATTTCCAAATTGAGATCTTGATATACTTTCATATTTTGGCCCGGCGCTAGTCTAATACCATTGACAGGCGGCAAGGCCTCCCGCATATGCTGTGAAACTATTGAATATAGTTATTTAGATAGCGACGGTCAGTTGGCAACCAATCTGCGACTCAATTATGATTCAGCCAAATTTGTCAGAGAGAAGACGACCTCAGCAAATGTTATTCGAAATAACAATGCTAAGACCGAAAGTAACAAGGAGGTGGTATATTTTCAAACTGAGAGGACAAACATGCCCACAAATCGTAAGATGATAATTATCGCATAAAGAGTAAAAAAAGTGCCAGGTTGTTCGATTAATTATTGCCCCAATTATTACATATTTCTGGTCGCTCTAATCATAAAACAAAACAAAAAAGAACTACACAGTGCTTCTCCAGTGCTGAATACTTAATTATAACTACTCTCATAGTGTTGTTGCCTTCGAATTTACTACATTATAAATACTTCCCTATTAAAACGAGAACTCGTTCTTTATTGGTTGTTTAGGTCGAATTTGAATACATTAAAAACTTAAGATTATCTAACAAAATCTAATCGTTATCTTAACTTCTTGAATTTGAGATTTTTATCACTTTCCAATAGATACATAAATTGAAGAGTGAGAGACATATTTTTATTTTTTATAGCAACATCTTTTTGGTTACTTTCTTATTCAGTGTCTCAGTTCATGATGCCAAGTTTTGACTTTTTTCTTGAATATATCACAACGAAATATATTATAAATTCACATAAGGCGTAATTTACGTCAATGCTAATTTGTTCGAATGTTATTATTACGCTTATTGGCGACTTGCTGTGTAAAAAGTAACTACCTACTGCGTAGATATTGTAATCACATTGTAAAGAAGAAAATATGTTGTTATCGATGTATCTATATGAATAAATAATGATTATCATTGCAGTAATCGGATGGGACCTCCCGCTACCGATGAGTGATGATGACAGATGTTTTACCAAGATTGCATCCTTCTGTGAAGACGTATTCTTGCAGAAGGAGGCGGCGGGGAGGACCCGGGAGGATGATCTCCACTCGGACCCAAGTCACCGCCGACGATCTGGGCAGCGGAGGTGCGCTTATGCCGCCCTGAGTGTGGCCGCGGGTGGACGTGGTGGTGTGTTTTTCCCTCCACCCGCCATAACGGCCAGCTGCGAGAAGGCGACGTTCGCCTGTGCCGGACGTTGCCTAAATAGAGAATGTACCCGAAGGTGGTGCCCGCACCCTTGCAGGTGCTAGGAGGGGTTCGGATGTCTTAATAACAGCAGTTCCCGGGTCGCTCCTATTACAGGCCCAGAATGGCACACCGTGTGGTTTTAGTCGGTCCGGTTCCGACACACCACCCCGCCGCAAATCCCGGTGGGGTGACAGCCCGAGGGGGTTTCTACACGTAAAACAAATGGTTCGTAATAGGTAAACGGAACTGTCATAAGTAATATCGATGGGATTTGGTAAAATTTGTGAAAAGTATATTAGGCAGGTCAGGCAGTTTATTTTTAAATAATTTATTTATTATTTTATTCCAATTTTAATGTTAAAATAAAAATCATCAATTAATAAATAATAATTTTGTTAATTAAGGTATTTACTTGGTTCCATTTTCATTTATTTTGATCACTCATCGATTAGTACTCTACAAAATCTACATTGCTTTAATTGCAAATGTATTCATCTATATCATTTGCTCTTAAGCAACGGCAGTATAATGAATGTTGACTGAGCCCGTGCTGAAGGTGTAATATCTAAAAAGAATTCTAAAAAATTTAGATGGATTCACCGGGACTACGCTTAGATGAATCCATCTAAATTTTTTATCTAGACCTACGTTCAATATTTCATTGCGTTAAAATAACTATCAGCAACACGATTTAGCCGATAGTAAAGCAATCAATATTTCAAGAGAAACGATATATATAAAATTCATATACCTACGTCTACATTCATGAATTTTAACAAACTGACGCGCTCTTGATCCACATTAGGAACTTGATGTTTAGAATTTTTAGAAATCAGTTACCGAAAGCAACAGTGTAGAAAATGATGATGATGATACTGCTCGCAGATGAAATAGAAATAAAAATTTGCTGAAACTATCTTTTATTAAAAACTTTACGGCACTCGCAATATTTAAATACAAATTATCGACAGGCTGGCGTTTAATATCCGACTGCTGTTCAATTGATATGCGGCTAACTTACCCTTGTATTTATAGTAAATGTAGACATTTAAGGGTTTGATGATCTTTATTGCTCATTGGATGACCGCGATAAGAGTGATTTTTATGGAACTCTCTGCAGGGATTCCAGCTCGTTGGAATTATAAAATGCTATTCGTATGATAATTTTAAAGTTGAATATGTCCATAAAACTAGTGTTATCGTATCGTATTTAAAGTAGGGCTTTGAAGTTGGCGATTTTGTATACATCGCATTTGTATTCAATCGTTTTTCTATGTTTTCATATTTTCATAGTACGGTTTGTAACACATATTAGTGTTTATGCCTACTTCTCCCACTAAGCTAAATGCTTGTGCTACAGGTCCCTCTCTTTTCTGAGCCTTATCATATTTATTTGGGCTCGAATCCTCGTCATTCTTCGCCAGTTTGTTTGGTGCTGGATCGCCGAATCTTTACCTCGTTTTTAATTACAGACATGCATGTTAGAAGGGGTCTAGCTCTCCTTTTTTTTGGATCAATATTCATGAATGTCATGAATGAATACATAATTAATGAGTCTCTTTGATTATATCTTTTGTTTTATCAGTATTTAAAATAAATATATGCATCCAAATATATTTTCGAAGTATTTAGTGAAATGGAAATCGTCGCCATAATTTCCTCAGGCGCATGCAACTTTACGTTTTGTTACCTTGACAGGTTTTATTACTTTCAGGGTGGTTGTTGTTGCCATTCTGTCACTAGGGCTTAAAGAGATATTTCTCAGTCTCTATTTTCTCTACCAAAACCAATTACTACCACTGTTCTAATTTTAATGTATTCAATATTCTATGTATATGCACACTCGGTAATTACTCATCAACACAGAATTTTGTAACCTGCACTACTACAAAGCCCGTTAACAAGCATTCAACATCAATCTTATTAATTTACTGGATAGTACCCGCGAAATCGTTCGAAATTTTAAAAGTGCTGACTTAGTGGGTGGGTTCAATTCCCCAAATTCCAAAAAAAATTAAAGGGTTTGTCTGGAAAAATAGCCCGAGTTGCTCCTTATATAGACAGCTACAGCTACTACTTGTACCTGGTAGTAAAATATGAAAATCGGTCCAGCCGTTTAGGAGATTACCCGGAACAAACAGACAGACAAAAAAACGGTTTTTAGGTATCATGCAAATAACCATGTGAGCATGAAAAAAAACTATTATTTTGACATTACAAACAGGCACTTCAATTTTATTTATTTTTGTATATAGATTATCTATGAACAAAAAAAATATTATTAAGTGACATTTATTATAGTCATTGAATATTGTCTTATCAAAGGGGCGACTTGATCTGAACCAATAGTAGTATTATGACTTCAGAAATATTTTCGTGACAAATGCGGAACGGCCCAGGAATGTTTGATGTACATTACCGGTTACAGAAAACACAGGACCACATAAAGTTATGTTTAAAAATGTTTTAGAATGTATGAGTTTAAGTTTAACCATTTTTATTCATTTTTTGAGGTTAGTAGAAAATGCTGACGTGATACAGCAAATCAGATTACGGTTTGGATTCAGCGACCCAAAAAACATTCAATACACTTGGTTTGATCGAAAGAAACTTTCATTGATTTTCAGGAAAGATACAAAACGCATATAGGTAGAGGTTACTTTTATGCCATCAAAAGTTCTATTCTCAGGGCAAAGGCTGAAATTTTAGGTAATTAACTGGATGCCTCCAGTTAATTACCTAAAATTTTATTATATTATATTTATTAACATGGAAATTACAAATAAATTT